TGCCATTAGTGCATAGGTTTTGCTGTTTTTATAATATTTACATTCCTGCATGGAAAACCCAACTGACCGAGAGGGCAGAGAAAATCCTACCGATGCTTTGAAAAGATTATATTTCTTTGTGGTCCTGCTTTTCCTTTGTACATGAAGGTTTCCAAAAACAGTTTGTCTAGTATGAGCCGACTCATTGAGTATTTTCAGTTTTTCAATGAAAAGAAAAACTCCCTGCTTTAGCCCCTACCACCATTTGCAGCTTTACAAGAACACTGTGTCTCTTGCCTCTGCCACTGGGATTTCAAAGAAGTCACAACACTTCACCTTTATGCTGGGCTAAACTCAGGGTAGCCATAAACACTCTGAAGTAATACAAACCTAAATATTCCTGCTAGGCAAACGGAGCAGAGGAACCGAATTATAATGAGCTAGCAGCTGTCACAATATGACCACAGTAACCAAATCAAAATATCAACCGCTAACCCAGATGAGATTCAAAGGTCAGCCTATAAGCCAGCAGCTTTCTTCAGTTCTGCCTGAAACCTCAGTCTAATCCTGCAGTAAAATGTTCCACTGAGCTAGTTTAGAAACCAGTTACTCTATGGCACTGAATTATTTAGTGCCCGGGTGCAGCACTGTCAGGAGCACAAGAACCAAACGCCCCAGAAAGGACACAGAGCCACTCACAATGGCGCATGTGAAGACGCGGCAGCTGATGCTGAACTAAGCTGCACCCAACTGTACAAAAGTATCACTTTCCACATCCTTCAGTCACCAATTCATATAGATAATCTTACTGGGCAACATGCTCACTTATCCTCAATCTGGTTTTCAATTAAGGCTCTGGAACAATGGAAGGAAAATACATGCTTAGATCCCTCCTTGGATCAAAAAGTTTGAGTTTGAAAATGTATTGTCTATCATTGTAAAACTATTTGAACAATAACTTGCAAAAGTTTAGTGCCAGACAAAAAGAAAAAGAAAACATGTTTTTAAAAAATCCATATTCTTTGTATAAACTTCTTGCCAGGATTTTCCAAGTATTCTATCGCATATAAATAATCCTCTTAAAGACACAGGACTCAGACTCATGACCCCTCTGCCCGATTAGCATATTCTGAAAGCTACCCAACTGACCACCTGTGAAGGTTTAATAAGACCGTTTTAAAAGTGCAGTGAACAAACTTCCGACAGATCTAGTGTATATTATTATAATTAATAATCACAACCAGGCACTAGGAAGAAGTGACTTATTGTCTCCTGGTACAAAACAGTACAGGGAATTCCATCTAAGGCAAAATGCAAACTGGTTTGCATCTACTCAATGCATGCAATGAGTAAGCACTAGTAAATATTAGGTGAGAATAGCATATGAATTGGTAATGCAGGTGGTCAGTTTTGTGGTCTCAATCCTGCTGAACCCTTCGAACATCAAAAACAAAAAGCCACTCATGCCTACTCTTTTTAAAATTGGAATCTTGCTTTTTGTTTATTTTCATTATATTTTTCTTTAATATCAACCCACTAAACCTTTGTGATAACCACAATCACAAACTGATGTAAAAAGTAAAAACAACCTTATAACCCAAGAACTGTCATGAATTCTTCTAGCATAATAAGCACATGTGTCTCAGTGTGCACACACACACATAAGTACAAATGTGTTCATTTATTTTATTTTAGAGATTCACAAACTATGAAATAAGATATTATTTTCAGACTGTCTTCTTTTGGTACAAGGAAAGTGTCCACAAAGGTCATATAACATATAATATAGGAGCTTAAACACAAAAATATACTTCTAAAAGAATATATTAACAATTATTTTAACACCATTATCATTTATATCACGTTTTGCATAAATTTGAGATAGAGAGCTGAACAAATGTATTTTTTTCAACAACTGTAATATTTATGTAAAACCACTCATGTGAAATCTAAAAGTTCAGAGTTGTAATCAAAGATTTTGTGACCATTGAGGAGTTCAAGGGCAAATATGTTAGCAATGCCTACTTCACTTCCCTAAAATAGTGTATTGTCATAAAGAATAAAATATTTTAAATATATAATAAAATTCATCCCCACAAGTAGAAAGTGGTGTAGTACTTTTTCTCTGCTTTCAGTAAAATATAACCTTACAAAGTAAACAGTTTATCCTCTCCCCTCAAAAAAAAAAAAAAATCAGGTCATCTGCAGTTAATAACTCTTTCCTGTAAAATTAGTGTCACTTATTTCTGTAGCAGACGCCTAATTCAGTCACAGGCTTGATTGATTTGACAATAGAGAATCTGCTCCAATAAAGTGGCTGATTTATTTCTGATGCTATAGCTTTTACCCTAATGTGACATCATGGAGTAATTGAGTCTCTGAAATGTAAAGAAATCCTTTGTAGTTTTAATGAAAACCAGTTAGATCCTGAGAGTGGACTGTTGTCCAAAACTTGCAGTAAAGTCTAATACCGCCTTCTTTTGGTACAAGGAAAATGCCCACAAAGGTCAAATAACATATAATAGGAGCTTGAACACAAAGAACAGTTTAGAATACAACATATATTTTATAAGTTCCAACTGTTCCCTAAAGAGCTTACTTTATCTTTATTATGAATTGGTTATCCTTAATTTCTTAAAAATGACATATGTCTTTTTCTTGTAAAGGTGCAACCTTACACGAAACACGACTCATCTTAGAAGTGGTTTCATTTTAAATAAACAGCCGCCTGGGCAAAATCAATGAGAATCTTTGTTCCTAAAGTCTGGCCCTGAGACACCCAAGGCAACCAAAAAAGCTTTGCAATGAGAGAAATTAGAGGTGAGAAGAGTTTTTAATACAGTATCCTTGTCATTCTCTAAAAATATTTTTAAATTCTTGTCTCAACTAAAAATGTAAGGTATTTCATACTTGTTTCAAAGTCTTTCTTTCTCTTTTTCTTCTGCACACTGAGCAGTGCCCTCGCGCTCTAAGGGCGACTTCCCTGACCCAAGAGTGACACTGCCCCGTTAATGTCAGATAAACCATTTAGCCCAAGCACAATTCTTTTCTGTGCAAAAATCTGCTTGAGGTGGAAAATGTAGCAGTTTGTAAACAATAAAGAGCCATGTTTCAGACCAGACAGCTTATCTAACAGAGAAGTCCTTTCATTGGGAACAGTGGGTGGGAGCCTCGTGGACATAGTAGCATTTCCTATCACAATGCAGGAGACTGTCTCGGCCTCCATATTTAAGAGTTTAATGGGAAGGAAGGCAGACGGGATAAAAGGGCAAGGCTGACATGGATTTTCAGCTTAAACAACAACCAAGTGAAAAGAATCCGCTCTCTCCGCAGCACAGTGTCAGCCCACTTATATTTTAAATACTATTTGGACTGAGAACTAATTTGGTTTGTAAAACAGTTGACCATGAGGAAACATGTATGAAAATAATTCTTTAATATATTTTAATTAACTGGTATATTTTATAGTAGTAATTCCCCAAGCAGCTCTTTAAAGTTTTTCACATTTATAATGTAAACTTCTAAATAAGACTAGTAATTTATTCTAACTTACTTTAACTCATCAGAGGATAATTTTATAAATCTTCTAAGGAAGTTAATATATTCTTTAGGTGCTATTCCTCAAGACTCAATTTCAAATGAATCTTTTATTCTATTTTGTGAAGTTGGGTGAAGATGAACAGAGAAGCAGAGACGGAAGAATTAAAACTGTTCTACTAACACTGAAGAGTCTCAAGTTGTCCTTTAAAATCTAGGCTGGCAAACATATCTATTATCTATCTCTACATATCCTGAAAACAGGAAGGCTGATATGCCTCCCTATCAGCAACTACCATAGAACTAGGATCCTCCTTTAGTTACCAAATTAAAACAGAAATCTGAAATCTACCATTTTGAAATTTAAAAAAAAAAAAAAAGAATCAAACTTAACTTTGTGGCACTCAAAGCTGGGGACACACACAAAGGGACAAACATACAAGTTGTCCATTCAAAATAATTCTATGCTAAATAGCTGATTTAATGATTTTTTTTTTTAATGACTGAGATAGTCCTTGGACCATCCCCATGTTAAGGAACTGGCACAACTTCCAAGGCTTTAAAACTAGGACATTCTTTAGAACCATTTGGAAATACAGTTTCAGAATGATCTAATTATTGCTGTGTCTTTCCTTTGGAGAATGGTCCAACAGCTTGTGTCATGAAATCTTTTATTGACAGATTTGCAATAGAATTTGGGCAGGTTGAAAGATTCACTAACACTGTTAAGAACTCACATTAACTAGAACAAAGATCATTTCTTCAATCAAAACTGAAGTAGCCAGCTATTGGGACCTTTTAAGCCATTATGAATTATCTTTTCATCACTCAGGTTACTGCTGTTAAACAAACATCCCTACAGAGTAGTCAAAAGCAGAAAACTATGCTCAGGAAGCCAATATCAAGGGCAAGGTAGAAATTCACAGATAGCCTCAAATTACAGGCAGGCATGTAGCTTGCTTTCAGTAATGCAGGATGGGGCCTGTCTAGACAACAAGCACTTATAGTTCACACCTTGATAAATACACAACAGCTTTTACAATTCCACTTGAACATCCTACTCTGATTTAAGCACACTAAGCCCATTGACATTATTTATTTCCATAACCCCAATAATAAAAATTCACATGTACTATATATCATTGCCAACCATCAGGCCCAATGACATTTTTATTAGAAGTATTCACCACTTTGATTTTATTGACCTTAACTGCAAAAACTACTATTGCAATATTGAAATTGGGCAAGTGCTGTATGTTGAAGAAAGACAAAATTTCCTCAGTGATTCAGCATCACTGAAATTGTTTAATCCTACATAGTTATAGAACTTAGTCATGGATGTACTATTAACCAGCACAGACTGTCAATACTGTTCTGCAACTAGAGATCCCAGTCAACCAGCAACCTCTGTCTGAGGCAGGTTTCTGCTACATGGTTAAACATAAGCGTTCAAAAAGTGCACAGTAATTTAAAACATGTCTTACTTTGTATTCTGGAATTGACAAAAGGTGGAGAGAGATTGTCATGTGACCCAAGGTCCCTGCTGGTCATATGGTCATACGGAGTCCCATCTCCATAGTTCTGTAAATAAAATAATAGTGTAAGTTTCAATTTCACATCAAGATTTCAGCATATAAGCCAGACATGGTGGTTTAAGACTGTAATCCCAGTGGCTTGGGAGGCTGAGGCAGGAGGATCACAGGTTTAAAGCCAGCCTCAACAACTTAGTGAGAACCTGTCTCAAAATTAAAAAAAAAATTAAAATGGCTGGGGATGTGACTCAGTGGTTAAGTGCTCCTGAGTTAAATCCCCAGTACCAAAAAAGAAAGAAAGAAATCAACACATAAACATACTCATACTACTGCAATCTCTCCCACCCAGAGCAACTGGAGTACATTATTCCCTTGAACCTGGAACCTCACTGTAAGGAAGCTAACCTTCACAGAGACAGTAGGTAATAAAGAGGTCTAGAATCTACTGAACTAAATTTCCTAATAATAATAATAATAATGGCATCAACCACATGGAGTTGTTGACATGAAATAATGCATGTAAAACAGCAGACACATAGGAATTATACTACACATATTAAAAATTATTCCTTTGATGAGCTCACATTAAAGCAACATTGTGCCATAAGGGGAAACTACCCACAGCCTGTAATGATTTGCTTTTGGAAGACCAGGGTAGAGGCATTTAAACAACAACATTTGGTTTTATGATATTGAAGTTTCAGTGCTTTATTACAGTTGCCCTTGTGGTTTTAAGAGAATGGGTTCATTATATCAGTAATTAACACACAGGAATGTGAAGAATATTCGAACACAACTATGAACATCAAAACTTTAGTGTAAACTAGTATGTCCAGAGTTGGCCAAATACATGAGACACAAAAACAAAAAAAAAATCAGTTTTAAGACAGAAAATCTGGGACACATATTTTTTATTATTGTAATTATATCCTTGTTTGGGAATTTTAAGTTAAAATGATGTTTTTAAGTTTTCCAGTCATTCAAATCTTAATGGAGAAATCTGATAACGTATAAGAGTTAAAATCATCTGTAGTATAGAACTCAAACTGCAGTCTCTCTATATAAAGTAGCTAAAAGGGGTGGTGGGGAAGGACTCTGCTCAGCTGGTTAAGCTGCCCATAAAGTCTAAGTCAAATTTACTTAGAAGTATCAGTTGGCGTGTGAGCCAAAGGGCAGGGTCTGCCCACACAGAAAAGATGGATTCTGTGTGAACAATGAAAAGGCACATCGTCACCTTGCTGGAGAACGACTGGAACCCAGAGGACAAACAAGTCTGCTTCCAATCGCCTTTCTCCATTTGCAAAAATTAACTTGGATGCTGCGGTAACCTAATTCTGTCAATATGTCCACATATAAAAAGATGTCTCTTTTTACAAATACCTGTTGTGGGTTTTATAACCAGGCATTGTATAACACTAATTATTTATTAAGTGTCCTCATTCTAGACAGTACACTAGAAGCTTAATATGCATTATCTAATTTAATCCTCAGTGCAGTGCTGCAAGGAAGATAATATCACCAGTCGAAGACAGTAGGAGAGGGGCATGGTGAGGCCGTCTGGGCCCAAGTCTGCAAATTATCTATTTCATGCAAACTCCCTGGTTTTGGAAAATATAAATGATAATATACTGACTCAAAACTATTCTTGAATATATTCCTAAAGAAAACTGGCAGTTAGTAAACATCAAATTTAGATGAAACTCAGAATGATTCTAAATGGACTTTGTTGGCCAAACCCAAAGGACCATGTGTATAAACTAAATGCGTATAGTAAGAAATAATATATAATAATAACAAATACTTCTTATTTCTTACAAAGTCTATACAGTTCAGTACACATAGTACTGTACTGAATTACAAGTAATACAATCATATGTAAGAAAAAGAAATTGAGTAGATCTGAATGAACTGAACAGGAGAAGGGAGCTCCATCATCTCTACTTGCTGTCAAAGGGAATGGATTTATTTCTGCAAGTGCAGACTGTAACATGAGGAGGAGGAAAGATTTCCTCAACCCATCCATATAATGCATTAGAATGTCAAGCTCGACAGCTGCTGTGAGGCTCAACAAAGTTCGTAGTAAGCTCAGAGATCCTGCTCTACCCTGAACACTAGCATGAGCTCCCAGTGCCAAGGACAGGTGGAAATGTGTAACTATGACTTGCTAAAATGTCCTCGTTTTGACAACTTGATGACCTCCCCTGCCTCTAATGCCAAAATAGAGATACTCCAGCTACACTCCAAACTGATGTGAACACTTGCAGCAAAAAATTCCCCTCAGGGGCTGGGGTTGTGGCTCGGTGGTAGAGCGTTCGCTTAGCATGTGCGAGGCCCTGGGTTCAATCCTCAGCACCACATAAAAAAATAAAATAAAATAAAGGCCTTGTGTCCAACTACAACTAAAAAATAAATATTAAAAAAATGTTTCCCTCACTACAAAGTCTTTCATCTAGAGGCCCAGCTAGGGGAGGGAGAGGTATGTGCTTTAAAATGTGCACTGAGTCTACTTTCAATCTGGAAGTGTGTGTGTGTGTGTGTGTGTGTGTGTGTGCGCGCGCGCGCGCGCGTTACAAAAGCTAACATGGGTTTTAGAGGCCTTAGGAAAAAGTCAGTGAAAGACATCACATCATTAAATTATTAGAAACACAGACGATATTCTGGTTCCAATGTTCTCTTTTACGAATTAGGGAAATGGAGGACCAAAAAAAGTGAAATGGCATGCCCGAGGTCATATGCATACAAAAACCCAAATGAATCACCCCCTACCCCACCCCATCCCATGATCTTCCCCATACACCCAAAAGGTACAACCAATGACAAAAAAAAGTCCATGAAAAAGGGCAGCAAAAATCTGAGACTAAATAAGTGAAGGAATCCAATTGCTGAGCAAAGGGCCCTGCTGCTGGAATGTGTACCCAGCATGACACGGAGCCAGACTCATGACACAGTCTGCACTAGGAGGACAGGCCTTGGACAGTGTCTTCCAGACGATTCCAGAGTCTAGTCACACCAAGGTTATGGGGATTATCAGGATTTTGCTTTCAGTTATTCTATCTTCAACAAATAATTTTCTAGAATATTAGATCATAACTAGCAAAAGTAAGGCGAAATATTTAATGAAGGCTTTTCCTTCTGGTGGGCACAAATGAAACAGGTGTAAATTCAGAAATGGTATCCAAAAAGAGAATGAAAAAACAAATTCCAAAGACAAGCTGATCCTCATTAATCTTGGTATGCATATGTATCTGGGCAGGTGTGTATGTGTGCGTGTGCGCGCGTGTGTCAGCATGCATGTGAGAAACTCTCCTTCAGTTTTTCAATTTACATATGTGGGATGTCTGGTTGTGGGAGAAGAGATTAGATATACTTACCCTGGACGGGCTTGGATGTCCTCCATTCCCCCAGGACCCTGAGCTACTTCTGTCTTCTACATCTAGGGACAAGAGAAAAGTTCTTTAGGCTTTCTTGCAATAATTCTTTCTTTTTGTATATGCACTTTTAAATTAATGTTTCAAATTAATCTCCTGTTGCCTTTAATTAAGAACCAGGCACAGGGCTACCATGATGATAGTGGCTTCTGACCCATCTACTTAAATTAACTCATTTAAATTCACAGCAGAAATGAACTGGACCCTCAGGAACCAGAGGTATGCACAGAAAAATTACTTCCATCCTTCACAATGTTTGATAGCCTCGATTTTTATAGACACGAAACTGCACTTAAAGTTTTATTAAAATCTTTTCAACAAAATAAGTTTAAAAATACACTAACATAACCTTAATCCAAAAGAGAAGCTAAATTGAGATAAATATCCACACTAATGCTTACAGCTGTTAGTTTAACGCTGCTGAATTTTTTTGTTCTCTAATAAAGACTTATGGCACCAGACAACAGCCATGCAACAGAAAATAGAAGCCAAAAAAATGGACTAAGTAGTCAACTTCCACCAGTATAGAACAGAGATATGAGGATTTCTTTTTTTCAAGTTATTTAGGTTGAGACAACATTTTCTCTTTTAATTGTTATTTTTTTTTAATTAGATGCATCACTTGGCCTATGATACTCTGCCTGGACTTTGAGATGTGGAAATGGAAGTTGTTATTAAATCACAAAAGCAAGATGGTGCAGTGGTGCGCACCTGTGATCCCAGCTACTCAGTTGGCTGAGGCAAGAGGATTGCCACTATAAGTCCAGCCTGGGCTACTTAGCAGGTCACTATCTCAAAACAAAGTAAAATAGATTGGAGACGCTGCTCAGAACAGAGTACTCCTGGATTCAACCTCCCAATACCAATAAATAAATAATTTTAAATAAATAAATAAGCAATATTTTATTTAGATAAATAATGGTAAAGAGAACTACAAGAACTACCAGAAACTTAAAATCCATTAAACTCTGTCCCAGTGAAGTTCTCAGGCTGATCAGATTAATAACTGTCCCATCAGTCCTTCCAATGGCAAACACTGGGAATGCAGGGTGAGACAGCCCCGTTGTCATCCTCAGTGCTTAAAGTACTGCAGTGTAAGAGCAGTCACTCTCCATTTAGGAATGACTCAGATTTTTGATGAGAGGCCCACGGTAAGCCTGAAAAGTTCCCCTTTCCATGACTCTGATCACTGTCAGTAACAGCCAGCCATCACAAACAGGCCCTAACAGAACTAGAGGATGTGAAACTTTGGTCCAGGAAACACTGTTCTATTTATTGTGTTTCCTAACATTTCAGTGATATTGTTTTTTCTCTGAATGCTCTACTGTCATTCTTTTTATTACTGCTATTTTGTTATCAGCAGAAGTAATCACCGTATAATTAATTGATTTATTTTTGGGTACTGTGGAGTACATGGTGTTACAGAATGTCTTTAGAGAGATGGAACAGCAACTGACCTATTACCACTGAACCTGAATATTCTCTCTCTCTCTCTCTCTCTCTCTCTCTCTCACACACACACACACACACACTCATATCATATACACACACAACAAATCAACCAACAGTACTTCAGTTCCTTTTGGTTGGTCCTTTAGAAGATATTGCATCTGCAAACAGATGTCCCCGTGGATGGTTAGAATCAGTGCACTGTGAGCTTAAAGGCACGTGAAGAAAGCTCTGGGGACGACATGGAATTGGAAAGGTGTAAAACTTTCCCCAAATCTGCTGTTTAACAACCAACATGCTGGCCTATCCTGTATATGCTGAACTAAAGTACTTGAAGAAGTTCCTTACTACCCCTGGGATTCTCACATGAGTACTTTTTGTAGACTACATGGCTCTCTTAATTCTTAAATAAAAAACATTGTCAGCCAAAAAAAAAGTGTATAAATAACAAAATCTCTCAACCACTGCAAGTTTTCAAAATTTGGGCACAACTCAACTTCCTCTTCACCTGTAACAGCCAGCTTGGATTAATTCGAGAGCTCTTGTATTTGGCCAAAAAGTAACTAGAGGAACAGATTTGACTCCCTCTACCTACCATAAGACGGCACGTTATTTGGACTAATTTTATCTTTTCAAACAGAAAAAGGATTTGAAACATATAAAGTAGGCAGAGACCAAGAGGAAACCAAACCATGCTACCAAGCCAGTGGGTCTCCATGAAGGTAATTCTCACCCCCAAAGAACACTGGCAATGCCTGGAGACATTTTTGGTCTTTGCAACTTGGGATAAAGGAGAGGATACTGGTATCCAATGAGCAGAGACCAGGGATGCAGCTAAGCATTCCAGAAAGGCACAAAGCAGTGTCCTAAAATAAAACACGTTCTGGACCCGAATATCAGCTATGCAGAGATCGATCGAGAAGCCCCGTGCTAGAGCAAAAAGAATGGAGTTGGAGAAAGAGATGCATTAAAATTTGATTTACAGTTTAGGAAGAACTCTTTCTAAATACACAGTTTCTTCCACATTGGAACCCAGAATTGACCTGGAATGTTTCAAGGGACCTTTATATACATCTTCTGTCCACCAAATAAAGGAAAAATGATGGTCAAGCTGCCTGCTAATTAGCAGGCAGCTAAAACACATCAAAACTTGAGTATTCCCAACTGGGCAATTTCAAAGCGAGCAATCCACTAATTAAAAATGCTGGAAGTCGAGCTTTTTCAAAACAGGTTAAATACTGGCTGGGTTCCTTCACAAATAGATTTCCAACCAATCAGATCCGACTGCTCTTTTCCCATCCTCTCCCATCTCCATCTTGCTGGTTGCCTGGACTCATGCTGCCAGCGCCTTCTTTTCTGCTTCCTCCCTTTTATTGCTCTCTTTTGAACAGGCTCTTCCCTCCCTTGGCCTCCTGCTAGATCTAGAGGATGAGGACAAATCACCAGCTCTACAAAACCCAATAAATAGAACTACCGTATGAATTCTAATTGTATTTTATCTGGGAAAAAAAATCTATATAACTGATGCTCATTTACTCATAGCAATGAGACAAAGCTATAGCTTGGATACCGGTCATTCATAATGCAGGTAAACATGTACTTTTTCAGTCATTTGTTTCCATCTTCCTTCCCCTAAGCTTCCTCAGACCTGCCAGTTAGTGAGCAGGCATTTCCTCAATAACGAGTCCAGTGGAGCTCAACACGCAGCCACCTACATATCGATCACCCGGCATGCTCATTTCAAAATAGTTTCTTAGGGGCCATCTCAGACCTATTGAGTCTAGGACTTCAGGGGTGAGGCCAAAAAATAAATAAATAAATGTGTTTTTAACAAGGTCCTCGGGTAATTTTCATGCACACAGGTGTCTGAGAACTACAAGACTGTGCTGTTAGAGACACAAGACACATTTCTACAATGGCCAGTCTCACTCCATACTGCAGTATTCCTGTCTGGGCTGCCAGTTTCAGCAGCATTCAGTACACACTCCCATCTCATCTGCATCCCATGGGATCCTGTCTAGACTCACCTTTTATGTAAACCCTGTACCTGACCTACACTTGGCCGTCTGGTATGCCCCACTGAACATTGCCAATGTTTCAGTTCGGTGAGGTCTTTGTTCCTGCTATTCCTTCTGCCTAAACTGTTCCACACCTCCCAGAAAAGAACAGCAGCTCACATTGAGCCCAAGTGCATGTCAGATACAGTGCTAGACAGTGTAATGTCCTACAGTCTCCCAATCTTATATATGAAAAAACTGAAGCTTAGATGGGATACAACCTTGTCCAAGGTGTCAGTAAATGGCAGAGCTGGAACAAAATCACAGGTGTTGTGGGATGCTGAACCCAGTGAATACTTTTCCTCCACCATCACAAATGGTGATTGCCTCCTGAGGAGGAATTTCCTCTATTTACAACCAGCTAGGATATTCCCTCCTGTCACTTTTTCCCAGTGTGAATGTAGTTGTTTGGGAGCTTCCAATCCACTCTTGTGTTTACAAAAGAGTACAGAAATCACACACAGTATTAAATATATATAATTTTTGAGAGAATCAAGAAGATAAAACATAAAAAACTGAAACAATAAAGCCAGAGGAATAATTGGCTTATCAAAACGCATGCTGTGACAAACTGGATAATTGTTAGAACTGGGTCAAAGTTTAGAAGTTATTAAGTAGGTCAAGTAAAGACTGAAACAAGACAATACCAATCAGATAAACACACCAAATTGCCCAGGAGAAACACAACTAGCCCTGATATTAAACTTGATGGAAAAGCCTACAGACCCCCCAACACTGGATAGAATGTGACAGAGCTGTCCACAGTGTCAATCAATGGCACTCAGGTGAAGTCTGTGAGGGGGCTCTATAGTACAGTTCACTAAGCACGCAGGATTTATCACACCGATAGCCATGGAGGTGTGCACACAGTGACACAGCTACACGTTTAAACACACAAACGTTACAGAAAGAAATACGCTTAACCCTCTAAGTACCTCTCCATATCTTATGTGGTACAGAACACTAGCTGGGCCCACTGGTTCCCCACGGAATTAAAACATCGCCAGGTAGAAAGTAGAATATAATATTGAATGAGAATGTTTACATCTAGATGTTGAGGAAAAGCAATATAGGAGAGGTATGTAGCTCCAGTGTGGCTTTTCAATAACAAACGCGCTGTCAGGACATCCAATTCTCGATGCGCTCCTGATAGGGTGCTGACCCCCTCTAAGATGGGAATGAAAAACCAAGGCAAGGGGCTGGGCTTGTAGCTCAGCTGTAGAGCGCTTGCTTAGCCCATGTGAGGCCCTGGGTTCGATCCTCAGCACCACTTAAAAATAAGTAAATAAAATAAAGGTTCTGTGTCCATCTACAACTAAAAAACTTAAAAACAAAACACAAAAAGCCAAAGCAATATCCTGGTAGCCTGAGCAACAGGAAAACAGTGGATGAGACAATCACCAGCCCAAAGACTGAAATGGACTCCAATGCTCAAGATTTTTCAGACTCCTTATTCCACCCCAACTGAGTAAGACTTGGTCACTTCCATGGGATTGACA